CAGTTTTAAAACACGTTAGTAGGAGAAGTACAATAATTTATACATTGCATTTCATTGTCTTTATAGTAGTTACTCAGAGGACAAGATGTAGACATGATATTTTGTCTAATACTATTAGCACAAACTTTTCTTCTCACTGAACTAAGAGCAAGTAGTTGCATATCTCTCCTATTTTGTATATACACTTTTTTTTCCACAACAAAACAGTCCTTTATTTATATCCCCTATTTTGTTTTGTCAGAGATGGGTGTTCCACTGCTGTTAGAGAAGCTGTATTTGGAGACGTCTTTAAAGGACCTTTTCATATTGGAAGCCAGTTCAAAAACTGTAGGTAACTGAATCCAGCAAAATAACCCAAGATAGTCCAACAGTCCATAATAGTAGTGAGTTACCAGCACAACTGGCAATTGTCCAAAGTTGCTGACTTGAGCCTTTTACAGCTAAGCATATTAATATAGCTTTACTTTTTATATCTCATGGCTACATCTGCTGGATGGTGAAGACCAAGTTAAAGCAAGACCTGTATAACTAAAAATGTAACTTTTGCTATCTGACAACATCAGTCAAATCCCATCAGGACTTACCCTGGAACCACATACAGCACCTTGTGCATCTTTTGTCAGTGTCAGCCATGTGGAAAAGTCATGGCCACTGCTTGACCAGTTTGCTCTCTGTGATCGCCTGAGAGAACTTTTTCTCTCTAGGTGACTCTCCTTAGGCACAGTATACATCATCGATCACTAAGCTTAACTGCCTGTGTTATAGGATAATACTATCATTAAGCTTCTCTTCTGGATGTTTAACAACTAAAGTTTGCAGACCAAAGATTAGACAGACAGATGGGCTAAAAAAAATAGCCAATATTTTGGCCCTAGCCCTTCAAGGTCAGTGAGGACTCAGGACATAAGAGAACCTCTGCTGTGACATCCTGTAACTCAGTGGTGTCCTAAATTTTCTGCTATATATTTTAATCACTTGACACTTAAATTCTTTCCCATAGTTCCTAATAGGCCACTCTGCAAAGTCTGTGCAGAGGATGTCTTCTACTCCCTTTCCTCCCCTCTATTATCTGGTAAACAATGACAGAATGTCAAGAATTTTTAAAGACACTAACTGAATTCCTTGCCTTGCTCTGCACAGACACATGAGCTCACGCTCCCCAAAGCAGGAAGAAGGAATGCACAAGGAAGCAAGAGTCACAGAATACATAACGAATGTGTGAGAAGGCAGGGTGCTGGAGGAGCCAGGCCAGGCGGCTCGCCCCGCAGAGTTCTGGGTGACATGGGGAGAAACGCCAGCACTGGGGCTGGACATCCACCTGGACACACAATGCCGGCAAGTCTGCAGCTGCAGTAGTAAACACGAGCTGTCTGCTTGTTTGAAAGAAGAAGTTGGCAGTTCGTGGTCCACCTAAAACCTTTCACAAATTGACGGTAAAGTTAAACAATGTCAGCTCTTATATATTAGTGAAGTACACAAAACAATGCAGGTTTAAAAAATGTTAGCATTCAAAATTTGATTACAGGCCAGAATATCCTTATTTTTTGCAGGCAAACATATTAAAAGGGGCAGCCAAATAGCTCAGCAGATTAAAGCACCTGCTTAGGCAGACTCAGCAGCTAGGGTTTGATCCCCAGCGTGCCGTGCTGGCCCCGCTCCTGGTGCATGCTGAGAGGGCCATTGAGATTGGGCGTGGTGGCGCCCGCCTGTAATCCCAGCTCTTGGGAGGCTGAACAGAGGTGGATCACTATGAGTCCAATCTGTGTAGTGAGACCCTGTAGACCCTGTCCTAAAATAAAAAGATTAAAAAAAAAAGAAAAGAAAAAAAAGAGGGCTGGCCAGATAGCTCAGTGGACTAAAACGCCTGCTTAGGCAGAACGCAGCAGCTGGGGCTGGATCCCATGCCATTCCACCCCCAGGACACACTGAGACAGCAATTGAGACCAGGAGTGATGGTTCAAGCCTGTAATCCCAGCACTTGGGAGGCTGTAAACAGGCAGATTACTGTGAGTCCAATCTACATAGTGAGACCCTGTACACTAAATACATTTTTTAAAAAAGATAGCTCTGTAAGTTTAAAACAGTATGTTTGAGTTACAGGGATATCTACAGACATCACGCCAGATAACAAAAAGGTTTTTAAATAGACAGCATACCAGGCCAATAAAAGCAGTACGCAGCAGCAACCACTTCAATGGATTCAGACTACACTGGAGGCAACCCCAAGGGTAACTGATTTATTTTTAAGTGCAAAATGGGAGTGCAAAGTTAGGAGAAATTAACAGGAATAATGGAAAGAGCTTATTAGACACCCCCATGAAAACCTGCCCAATTTAACAAAACTTGTCCATATACTTGGAATGCAACAAAGAAATTAATAGTCTTAAAATTATATTAGAGAACAGACAAGAGTCAAGACAAACCTCCAAGATCAAAATTCTAGTCCTTAATAACTGAAAGCAAACATGGATTATGGAGTAGATTCAAGTTGGATTTAGTATTTAAATAACATCATTGCTGAAACATTTTCCAGCATAAAGCTTAAACAGAATAGTGTTTTGCATTTATAACGTACTACATTAATCTATTTCCTGCAGCCGTCTTGGTAGGCAGACAAGTACCTTGGGAAGGAAAAGCAGAGCAGTTCTAAATCAAGCAATTTTAAGGGCTCTGTGTTGACTTGTACAATTGAACAAAGACAGCCTCCCAGGTAGTCAAATACCAAAGAATCACAAACCAAGCTATTATAGTTTATACCAACATAATAGCATTGAGTACGTAAGCCTACAAAGTACGATCCACAAGAACAATTCAAGTCTATATTAATGTAGGAATGATAGGTATCAATCCCTAACCAAACAAAACATGGTATTTCTGTGTGTGTGATTCTTCTGAATGGGAATCTCTTCCAACACTGAAGACACTAAGAGCTGTGGGGACACAGTGACAAAATGATAACAGTTAACTTTCAAATATTTGCAGCTCATACAAAATGGCTCTATTTTTAGACCAGAGCCAGTATGTTTGATTCCTTTTTTGATCAAAGAAGATTTACAGTAGGAAGCAACTAAAAAACTTTCAAAATACTTGGAAAGAAGCTATGTGGAGTTATTTTAATCTTGCTTTAAAAAAATTACATGGAGGTACAATGGAGAGAAAATACAGGTTTGCTACCACCTGCACTCTGTAAGCGGCATCTTTTTTTCTTGTCTCAATGTTCTTTGAAAAATGCTGTCCCTCAGGAAATAGCTAAACACAATGCTAAAAAAAAGAAAGAAATCAAACAAAACCACCTGATAAAAAGCTGAAGGAAAAATTAATCATAAGAAAATTTATGAAAGAGGAATAGACAAGGTAAGCTCGATGTTTAAGGGTAAATGGGGGAATTTTCTATAAATAATTTTCCAAAACAGTTACACATTAGAAGGGAGAAAAGCCTGTGACCAGCCCTTAATTAATGACAAGAAGGATATCCAGGATTCAGAGCTAGGACAGGTCGTTTCCTGAGTAACCTGTCATCAAGCCTCATTGGCATAAAAAGCATGATAGGTATGGTTCTCAACGTATTTAGATAAATTTTCCACTAGAAAGGAATTAGTATGAGCAATATTTTGTTGTTCAAAATAAATGATTCTGATTGAAATCCTTTTAAATAGTCTCCCTTTCCCGTGTTCTTTGTCCCGATCCTGACGTCCCTCGACTAAAAGTTCATGTATTTTCTTTCTCCACATTAATGAAAACACAACACACTGATTGCAAGAATCTTACTAGACTTCCATTTGTTTTGCCTCAGCTCCTACATTAATCCAAACAATAAGGGCCTTTAAAGCATTCATAAATAACCTGCTGCTGCTGCTGCTGCTGGCACCTAGGAGCCAAGTGCGGCAATGTTAAGCAACAACAAATTTCATAGTTCAAGAGGCACAGTTAAAGAAAAAAGGTTACTAAGAAAATCACTCTTATTTAGCGCAAAGATTCTTAAAAATTGCATGAAATCAGTCAAGTAACTATAGAAACCAATTTCTTCAGCTCCGTATCACACGTCTCACACCTCAATTGTCTTTATTATCGTCTGCTGTCAGATCCTTAATCAGAAATGTGAACAGGCTTTATGATTTATTCAGGAGAGAAAAGAATCTGTAGGTCAAGTGAAAAATTTCACACACACACACACACACACACACACACACACACACACACACACCCCACATCTTCAACCTTAGGTACTTTCATTTCATTCTGTTCTCAGCTGCTCTGGGGGCAACTCCAGTGAGATCCAATATTAAGGCTCAATTAAAATAAGCTCCAATTAGTGGAGCTTTTTTCTCTGGGGCTAGAAAAGTCAGGAAATGGATATTGGGAAATGTAAAAAGTCAGCTACTGAGAGGAGGCTGCAGACATAAATGAACTTATTTGTTGATTTCTACAGTTGCTATGCAGAGGCCTCTGGGAGTAAAAGCTTAACCAGTCTAAGCTATAAACTAAAACCCCTGCAGCTAAACATGAACTGTGTGAAACAAGGGCTCCATTCCAGAACAGAAAACTGCTGGGCCCAGAAAATTAAAAGCCAGAGGCGTTTTCCATTTAAAACTAAATCCCAGTACCGCCTCCCAGCCAAAGAATTATAAGCAGTATCAGATTTACAAAACGAACAATTACCCTGGAAAAATGTAGCCTATTGTACAGTCCCAGATGCTAAATCTCAAAAGTTTCTTCTTCTTTTTTTTTAATCCCACATTATATTCCTCTAAGTACACTGTTGTAGTTTACAAAAAGCCATTTCTAGACAGACCTAAGCCTCAAAAATAAATTTTAAAAAGAGAGCACATAACTCATTGACCTCTTTTGAAGCACTGCCCTTGCCTTCAGCAGTTCCTGTCCTTCCCCAAGGCTTCGCAAATGGTATGCAACAGCAAAATAAACCCTGACCTAATTGCCAGGAGAGCGATGCCAACCTTCCCGCCAACACAAAGAGGAGCATGGTCACTTGGAAGGCCTACCTCTTTGGCTTTCTGCTTTAATCTCAGCTGTTCTGGATCTTCTTTATTAGAACGACTCTATCAAAGGAAAAGAAAATTTTAATAGAAATGACGAGAATCTAAACACCACAGTCACAGTTAAATATTTAATAAATGACAATTTCTCTTGTGATTGAAAATCCTAGCTCCAGGCTAATGCCTCAATCCAGGCTGGCCGCACACCCGCCCGCCCTCCCTCCTCATCAGCTGGGCCGGCTGCTGCAGTTCTAGCCTGGAGGAAGCTTATACTGAAAATGATGCTAACAATGTCAGTCAGGTCCAGTTGAGGCATGATGCTGTTCTTGCTGGAACACTGGAAACTGAAAAATGGTTGGTACAGAGGAAGAAAAAAGAACTCCTGGCTCAAATGAACGAAAACATAAAAACTGGCTTATCTTCAGGTAAAACCATTTGGGGAAAACATATGGTATTTCAAGGACTATTAAAATCAAGAACTTCACTAACCTTGAACCATATCTCTGTCTTTAAAAGCATAATGCTAAAAACAAATGCTTTCTAGCATTTTCATTAGGATATTTTTTCTTTGGGTCCTTTATAGCACTTGGCCGGATGCTATGCAGAGATAAAGGTTCATGCATGTTTATTCAATGTCACTTTTCATAATACAGTCCCAGTGGAGGGGCGGTATGAGCAGACAGTTAGCTATACATACAGCAGAGATGGACAAAGGGTAAGGAAATTCATTTATGATTCCATAACTGTTTTGTTCACAGGAAAACATGCTTAGTAATTTTTTTCTTTTTATCCTAACAGATTTGTTTAATTCCTGTAAATCAGAATATCTTTTCTATAAAATGCCAACTTGGCTAACTAAGGTAAAGGTAGATAACAAAACAAAAACCAAAGTACTTTCCTATTTACCAAGTTTGCCTGATATTTCTATAGCAGTATCTATGTTAAAGGAAAACACAGGATACTGTCTGTTTTGACTTACTAGGAACCTTCTCATTTCTAACACTTAAATACTGACAAAATTTTATGAAAATTCTACACAAAGCTTGCAACTTTTTTCATTTTCATTCACAACCTACTAAACCAACTTTATTTCAACCCAAACTAGGTCAGACACCATTGTTATCCTACCTACAATATTAGGAGATAATGAATATGTGAACAGATGTGTTTGCATACAAATACACATTGTGGTCTGCAAGCATATTTGTATGAATATGTACAATTTCCTGCCCTAGTATAAAATGGGCACATTTGAATATTATGTCTTTGTCAGGCCTCCGATGTGACTGGTTCTCGGTAGAACAGACTTCATGTGCCATTGTTTTAGGCTTGGGAGAGTCACAGAACAAGTTACTAGCCAAAGCCACTGTTCTCAGAGAATTCTTTTTTCTTTTTGGTACCAGGAATCAAACTCAGGACCCCACACTTGGTAGGTACCACTGAGCTACATCTATGGCCCAGGTAACTTCTATTTTAAGAACAGAAAAATAATAAATTTTATACAAACTAAACACTTTTATGAGATGTAAAGTATTTTAGGTGGGTAAGAACGAAAAACCAAAGGCCATCCAGATAGCTCAGCGGACTACAGCGCCTGCTTAGGCAGAGCACGGTGGCCTCGGTTTGATCCTGGTGCGCCTTCCTAGCCTTGCCTCCGGGGGTGCTGAGACCATGACTGAGACTGGGCGCGGTGGTGCACGCCTGTAATCCCAGCACTTGGGAGGCTGAAAACAGGAGAATCAGTACGAGTCTGATCTACATAACAAGATCCTGCGGACCCTGCACTAAATACATTAAAAAATAAATAAATAAGTAAGAATGAAAAATCAGACATTGCTGGTACAAAGTAATATGAAGAAACTACAACAGAACAAAGTGATGGAAGAGAGACAAGTACTCCTCCAGGTAAGGCTGCAGGAAAGCGTGTTGCGCGGTGGACAGTGACGAGATCTCGGAGCCCATAACAGAAGGCGCAGTACCTGCCCAATGAAGCCTTAAAGCAAGCACACGTGGGCAGAGCAAAGGCCCACAGGCTCAGGGCAGAGGGAAACCTCGAGGGAAAGAAAGCCTGGGGGGAGATCACGTGCTGCCCTGAGGGCCAAGAAAAGGAGCTGGATAGTGAATACCAGTTAGAGCAAGTCACGGACCATTCTCAACACAGAAGTACGTTGCCGCCGCAGGCGCCTCCTTTGAATGGTGGCTCCGGCAGCCATGCAGCAGGGGCACATGAAGCAGGGGCACGGAACACTCCGCACGCACTGAGCTGACTTTCCAAAGCAACTGTGGGAACAAGTGATGGACTGGGAGAAAGGTGACAAGGGCTGGGACCAGCACTGCAGCAAAGGTGAAGACAACAGAGTCAGAACACGCTGCAAGGACAGCCAACCAGATTTACTGAGGGACTACACAGACAGTATGAAATAAACAGGAAATAAAGATGGCAGCGAGGGCCTGGTGTACTTCCAACTTCCTGAGATAGAATAGATATAGGGGAACAGGGATCAGTGATCGGTTTTAGATGCCTCGTAAATCTAATACCCTAAAGTCGGCACACTCAAGAAACAAATCTAGTGCGACAACTGTACAGTGGAATGGCACAGGGTGACACTTCCAAGCTCAGAGAGGGACGAATGTGCCAAAGCAATAAGGTCTTTTAAAATTTGGTATGAAATTTGGATTTTAAGTGCAACAGAAAGCCACTAGAGGCTCTTTATGTTATTAAAACAGTACTCAAACAATGGCATGACGAACAGATTGTAGAAGGGAATACAGATCAGCAGGAAGAGAGAGAAATGCAAGTGAAAGGCGTTCCAGCCTGGAGGAGCGACTCTGACGACGACCAAGAGATGGATACACTTTGGGAATGAAAAGGAAGTGGGCTGAATGAGGAGGAAGCAAAAGAAGTTCCCCACGACTCCCAATGGTTTTGGCTTCAACACGGGCACTGACGATGGCCTCATTCACAGAGTCAGGAAAAGTTACATGAAAGAGAGAAAGAACAGAAGTTCTTTTAGAAACAGTTGAGATCCCGTCAGTCAGTGAAGTACTGTCAAGCATGCAGGATGCTCTGTGAACCCAAAGCTTCAGCGTGTGGACTGAGTCAGAAATGGAATCTTCATTCCGAGCTCAGAAGTCCAGTGAGGGAGGGAGGGAAGGAGGGAAAGCCAAAACACTTAGAGCAAGTATAATATCATAAATAAAATATAAACAAATACCACTATGAATAAGCGAGTACTTAATAGTTTATGAACTGTTACAGCCCAGTAATTAGAGCTAATCACCAATAAACCACCTCATCACAATAGCTCGGTGCTTGCTTACGACATACTCAAAAGAGGAACTTCCCTCTGTCCCGTGTTAAGCACGGGTCAGCACTGGGTGTGAAACTGGGGCACCTGGGAGCGGCATGATGCCAATCGAGGGTATGGTGCCGTCTTCACTGTGGGGACCGGGGCAAAGCACCCCCGGGCCAACGGCCAAGAGCACAGGGTTTTAAGGACTAAGGCCCCCACTGAGGCACGCGCCAGTAGTGGCACCGTGGCCAAAAGCACAGGCAAGAGATGAGCATGGGGACCAGTGTTAGCTGATCAGTCAGCCAGCGTGGCTGGCTGAAAGATCAGGCATAGCAATCACATAAGTGAACTGACTGAGGACCTGAGTTTAATACATCAAGGATAATGGGAGCCAAGTTTCTACCAGGAAAAAAAAAAAAAAAACTTTTATAAACATGAAAAGATTAAGATTAAAAAGACCCCTGAATTACTGGTTTGGAGTTGGAGCTACCCATACAAACTCATGATTGTATAGTGTACACATACAGATACACGTTTGTGTACATCCATCCCATGTACAGTATTTCCTATATGTGGCCACAAGCACAAGCACGGTAAGTGCCCTAATACCGGTTTCTAACTATCACCCTAAACAGAACCAGGGTTGCTCGGTAAATAGCTAGTTCTAGGGCTGAAGCAACGACAGTAAAGGCTGAGCCTGGAATACTGAGCCAGAAAGTACGGACATGCTCAGCAAGGGGTGAACAGGTGACAAAAGAATGAAGAGCTAGCTTGGAACGCCTCCCACCTGGGAGCAATGTGGGCATCAAAATAAGTTATGACAGCAGTAGAATATAACTTGTCTGGTCAAACAGAATGCATGGTCTGCTACTGATATGAACAAGGAGAAAAGAAAGCTCTTTCTAGTAGTAGTAGCTGTTCATAAACAGAGAAGTTGACGGAACTGAAGAGTCAGCATCTGGTAACCATCACAGGAAGGGCTGGCTGAGACAGGCATGACAACACGCTAAGGGGGTGTATAGGAGGAAGCGCTCACTTAGAACGCAGAAAACTAGTAGTCACCTGCGCGACAAGATCAAGGCTGCCCTCTGCTGTGATCGGCTGAGAAGAACATGGCAGCCTTTGTGTGCAGTCCCACCAAGGATGAGTGACTCAGGCCACAGGGATGCACCAGATGAAGCCAGGCTGGGGCATCCTCCGCAGGTGAAGCCAGTGCCCCTGAGAACTGTCAAGGGTGGGAAGGAACAAGAAAGACCAAGACTAAGTGAAGGAATCTGAGAGGAGATGACACTAAATAAAACAGGCCTGAATGAGAAAGGAAAGGTGAACAGAGACACAGTTGAGACAGCACGTGAAATCGGAGTGGGACCCTGCACAGTGGGTGGCAGTATGACTGCTGACTTCTGCCTGGGGGGTTACCAGGAGGGGCCTTGGCATGGAAGCGTTGAGGACGGATGGGACAGCATACCCAAGGCCACTTTCAAAAGGTTCAGGAAAAAGAAATAATTGATACTACAAGCACACTAAAAACTTCTAAATCAAGCAAGAGAAGGAGGGAAGACAGAAGATGTGGAAGCATATGGGTGCGTATATGTGGACGCAATGGTAGAGATGGAGAGCAAGCAGTAAAATATTTCAAATGGGAGAATGTGGGAGCAGGAGCTTCTGGTTAGCTTCTCCTGGGAAAGAGGAGCGAGAACGCACAGTGCTAGTTAACTTTCTGTAAGAATGAAATTACTTCAAAATAAATTAGTTTTCAAAAAAGCTATTGGGGCCGCAGAGATAGCTCGGGGGTCTAACCATCTGCCTGGCAAGTACAAGGATCCAGGTTTGATCCCCAGCTCTCCACAGCATGTTGGCGCCACCCCAGGTACACTGAGGCCACTAAAACTGGGCATGGTGGCACACACCTATAATTCCAGCGCTGGGATTAGTAGGATCAGTATGATTCCGAGACGCATAATGAGACCCTATACCAAATAAATAAAAAAAGCTATTGGTATGTACGTAACAACAAATATTCTAGAAGAGGAAAGCTTCAAAGAACAATAAAATTAGGTGCAAAGTGCTTAAAACAAAAATTGAAGACTTCAGTGCTCTACCTTTCAGACTTCTTAGAAGGGCCTTAAGTCTATGGAGCAGCACAGTGCTGCAAAAAGCAAACTTGTGGAATTAAGCTTTCCTTCCATCTGGCAGTGACAGTCCTGAGAAGCACTTAAATAAAGGAGAAAGAGAAAAGGAAACCACTTGTTCTCCCTTTTAATCTCTAATCCGTTTTTACCCTTTATATATTATAGTCTGTATTGTTCAAATTATACCTGATTTTACCATAAGCTCCCCATCTACTTCCCAATTTTTTTTTTTCTTTTTCTCTCTCTTTTTTTTTTTTTTGGAGACAGGGTCTCCCTGTGTTATTCAGGCTGGCCTTAAATTCACTTATGCTGGTCTCAAACGCATAGCAATCTCCTGCCTCAGCCTCCCAAGGGCTGGGATTAAAGCCACCACGCCAGGCTACTTTCTAGATTTTCCACCCCCAACTTTATTTTGACACATATCAAACAATTCCCTAAATAGACCTTGAAATTTTTATAGGACTTTTTTACCAAGGGAAGGAGGCAGCCAGGGGAGTATGCTGCCAGGCACACAGGAAATGAGAGTGAAGAGACAAAAAGCATGGGTCATTAAATTAAATGAACAAAAAAGCCACTGCACCACACCACACCATCTTCTGTGAGAGATTCTCTTAGTCATTTTACTTTAAGAAATCCTCCAGAGAACCTAAAGGTTTAAGCAACCCAGACAGGTTGACAATGACAAGGCCAACGCTGCCCTCACCACCAGGCCACGCTCACACAAAAACTACACAGGCCCTTACCTTGGCTGCTTTGAGTAACATTTCTCGTTCTTCTAGGTCCTTTCTTTGCTTCTCTAGTTGATCCAGCTTTTCCAGAAATTTGAGCTGCGACTTAGTATCACTAGACAGGATGTAATTTTCACTGGCCTGGAAAGAGAAAGTCTTAAGCTGATCGTGGGTAGCATGTTCTGTGTTAGGTTTTGTTATAAACTAATATCAGTGACAGCAGATTCTAAGGAGTTCAGTTTTTAGGAGGCAATATTTTTTACTTACATTAAACCAATATTTTTACTTACATTAAACAAGCTTGACAGAACAAAAGCCAGGAACTTGACCTACCCTTAGAATTTCACAGATTAAACACCTATGTTTCAAAAACATTTCTACTAAATCTCATTCTGAGGTAGGGAAAAGCAGCAGATTCAAACAAGAAGAATGCAAGAGAGTATATGCCATTTACCTACAATTTAAATCTTTTTAATTGAGTTATTTTCTATTTTGTTAAAACTTAATGTTAGTAATTAATTCTTAAGCCTGTGAAAACAGACAGCATGAAATAATCTTTTCATTGAAAAATACACAAAATGTGAAAATTATTCTCATTAGCATTGTTGGGTTTGTTTAACTGTAACAAATGAATATGATTTCTATCAAAGTACAACAAAAGACAAGGTGGCAAGTACCAAAATCCTGAAATTCAGAGGCATTCCTAAAGGTGTGAATTTAGAAAGAAACTATAGCCAAAGAAATTAAGTATAATTGATGAATAAGTGCCATGCTAGAAGTGTAAGTATATATTTTAAGTGTTCCATAAAAGTTCAGTTTATTCAGTATGCCACGGTGTAAAACAGGGCTTTGCAATGTAAATATGTTCTAATGTTCTTCCCTGTGCCTACCTCGCCCTCCCTGCTAATACATACACTGTACCCAGTGTGTGTGGTTTGCTGGGACAGTAGGTAGGGTAGGGGGCCTGGGAATTTTCTCATGCAACACTCGGGACACAGGCATAAGAGAGGGGCTGGACAGGAGGAAAACTGAATTATTTCATTCAACAGTGAGTGAGGGTCTGGACATCAGGGCACACTACAGCACATACCCGTCCCCTTCTCATCCTTATCCCTGTGCTTTTCGATGATTCAATTAACCCAGAGATTTCATATGCCCAAGATTCTTTTTAAATTAAATTTTTATTGCTGGTATTTAACTAGATCAAAAGAGTATTACATAGGTTAAGGAACAAGGTTGTATTCGTGCTACTTACTTTGCTTCATATTTAATACAAAAAGAATTCCCAAATGTTTTTTTTTTTTAAATTAAATACTACAAGATAGAATATGGAACACATTACAGGCCAACCATAGAGATTAAACATAATAACAGTGGCTTCCTAAATACTCCATCTTTACCAGTGTTGCGCTCAGACACTCAAGATAGTTTACTGACAGGACTTAATTTAAAAGGAATAAGAAACACTAAATCAAAAAGGAGCACAGACTTTCTACACTTCAACCCCAGTACATTCCCATGCTAAGTTTTTCTTTCTCTTCCAATTCAGATACAACTGCCTCTGGCATAGTGCATTTTTTCTTTTCAGTTCCAGATACTCTTAACCAAATGAGTACCTCCTTTAGTCCTATTGAGTCCCTAAATTTTTGTCAAAAACAGCTTAGTGTTCCTTCCTGTCTCAGAAGACCCAATTAACTGAACTCCTCATGCACCAACAGAGGAGGGCTTTGCAATGTTAGGGCCACTACATATTAAGTGGCTTAGCAATGAAAATATAATGACCTAGTCATAATGGTATCAACACTACTGAGCGCATCCCTTCTAAAGGAAACACTGCCATACTTTCCAACTGCAAAACAATGAAACTTCCCCCATGGCCACAGGCATACAGAAGACTGTAATATATCTTCAGTGGGAAAACACCTGGCAGCTAGATCAAAAGCTCTGTTTCACATGTCACTTTCCACTTCTTTACTTAAATCCCAGTTTATGACCTATGATTAGACAATTATACCTAGCCAGGTAAAACATTATCAAAAGCAAATGGATTTTCAGAAGTGGAAAGAGATGGTTGAATTTTGCTTTGAATAATAGTAGCTTGTGTTTTTATGCAATCCATGGGGTAGAATTTTAAAATATTGTATAGATAAAATAAATCCTATCAAGTATACACTGAAACACAAAGTCAGAGCTAAATCTGTATTCCAAAGATTATTACAATTAAAGCCTATAAGATAAGGGTGTTTTTTGAACTAGCTTCACATATAATTAAATGATTACTATTTCTGTTTTAAAAAGGATGATGACAATGCAATCTGCCCTTCTGTGTAAATGCTGATGGTGTTCTTAGCTGTATAAAGCAATGAGTGGGGAAGGGTGGGCAGGGGAAAATGAGAGCAGGCAGCATAGAAGACAGGGCTAAGGAGGTGGCAGCTTGGCACTGAGGTCTTCCAGGTGGCAAACATATTATCCATTTTGTCTAAGGCAACTAAATCCTTGGAACACAAGCTACTGAAATAAAACAGAAGAATTATATCTAAAACTATCCATCATAGATCTTTAAATAGCACCCTCACTAAGCCCTAAGAAAGTCTCCATACTAAATTGTACATGTTATTTGGCCTTTTACTTTGCTTTTTGTTGTTCTTCCTGCTGTTTTTATAGAGCTAAGGACCGAACCCACAGTCTGTGGCAAACCAGCGCAGGCTGCTTCACAGCTCACGGGGTAGCCAAACACCTGCGGACCTGCCACTGCCGTGTAGCTCGAGCGCACGGAAGGAGGCAGCTCTGCAGCCATGACGCGGCAGTGGACAGCTACGCGTGCGCCAGAGAAACCAGCAAGTGAGACTGCAAATGTGAGGCAACAAGCTGTGCAAGAATTACCCGACAGACACAGGTACTCTGCCCACTCGTGCTCTGCTCTGCTCCATGCTGCCTGCTGTCCTTGCTGATACCCTGAACACACATATTCTTTAAACTGGGCACCTCACCCAAAAAGTTCCCTTGCCCACCTCCCTAGCTGGCCGACACAGCTTGCTACACGCTGGGCAAGTACTCAACTACCGCGTACACCCTCAGCCCCATTTCATAGACATCTCCTAGTATAAATGAAGATGTACTCTCATATTTCTGAAAGAACAATGAGATTAAGGCAGGAGTGGGAAAATCCTGATAAGACCAGAACATACTTCTAAGAGTTACAGTAAAAACGATTGATTTCCCACAAAACTGAAGATAAGCTAATATCAATTTACAGTACATTGCTATAGATTTAGGATTTTAATTATAGCCTCCATGGCAACCACTAAGAAAATTAAAAATACACAACAGAAGAAATGAAGTAATATAAAACAAAATCAAATATAAAAGACGGCAGTAATGGGAGAAGCAAGGGCTAAAAAAGTTGTAAAGAATAAAGAAAACAAATAGCAAACTAAGAGAAGTCTTTTCTATCAATAATTACTTTAAATGTAAATGGACTAAACTTGCCAATCAAAAAGCAGGGTATGGCAGAATGAATTAAAAACATGATTCAAATCTTTGATTTGAAGATATGCTATCTTTGAAAGACTCACTTTCAATAAAAACACACAATTTGAAAGTGGAATAAAAAACTCCATGAAAATAATAACCAAAATAAAGCACTGCTGTTTATGCTAACATCAGAAAAGATACATTTTAAGTCAAAGTTTGTTTTTTTTAAAAAAAAAAAAAAAGAAAGAAAGAAAATAGGACAAGCTGAGAGTGGTGACATGGACCCACATTTCTAGCTTCTTGGGAAGACCATTTGAGCCCAGGAATTTGAGGTCAGCCTGTATAACATAGTGAAACCTTGTTTCTTAATTTAGAAAAAAAAAGAAAGAAAGAAAGAAAGAAAGAAAGAAAGAAAGAAAGAAAGAAAGAAAGGAAGAATGTGATACATTGATGATAGAGGCAATCTGGCAAGGACACTGCAACACTTCCTATCTGGAAGCCCCCAGGCCAGTGGGGCTGGGAAGTGGTCACTGAGGGC